TCGGCAATTCTTCCTTGCTTCACCAGCCACCGCGCCGACTCCGGCACGAGTCCCGCGAGCGCGAGCTGAGACGGAAAACGATTTTATGTCGGAAAGGAGGCTAGAGGGAGGGGGGAGGCAGGATCAACATTGTCAGAACATCTCATCCGCGTCCCACGTGTAAGAATAGAAGGGCGTGCAAGGAATGTGTTGTGGTCGAACGTCAGGACGATCGAGTAAATTCCTCCGCTCCCAGCTTTTCCGTCCCAAAGAATGCACCGAAACAGGTACAGAACGGTCTGATCGAAGCTGATGGCATTCGGGACAAAAATATAGAGGCACGAGTGGTCATGATATGTGACTACTGCTTCGTCGAACCCCCAAAACAAAATAGTTGTGTAAGTAGAGTACCCGAAGGCGTCGCGGGTGGCTGCCAAGACTCCAAACTAGCACGCATGATTTGTTCATGGATCGATGGACGGAAATGTTGCCGATCCGAAAGGCCAACCTTAACCGGGACAAGGGCTACCAAGACACCCCTACACAGTGCGCGTGTGACGAAGCTGGACGGGTGGTGAACTGTAGCGTGCGCGACCGATCCGAAGCGAAACGGGTCAACGTGAGCGACAGGAACAAATCCTCCAAGCAGTACACCGCGCCTGGCCTATTTCACCAACTGCGGGCAAGATTTCATGCAATACTTGGAACGAAATGCGAAAATTTCAGACAAGACGCGCGCGTCAAATCACCCAATATCCGAACAAAAAAGGCCACCAACGTGAGCTTAATATGGGGTACACATGTGGCGCCAACAAAAATAAGCTGCTTCACAGCACACCCATGTTTGCAACTATTCAACAAGGCAGTCGTGGAGTGTGTGGTGTTGTGGATGCACCTGTACTGCGGCGGGGACGACGATGAACCCTTGCACATATCTCCAGCCATGCGACACGTCCTCGACGAGCGCGTATCCCAGGAGCCCGGACGACAGGATGCCGAGGTTGATCATGAGCTGGTGGATCGAGCCGACGGCCCCTCGGTTCTTCGGGGAGGACACCTCGGAGAGGAGGACGGGCACCACGCCGGAACCACAACTTCCGGCCGCGGCCACGCACGCGTTTAGATACGACAAAGCAGACATGAAAAAAAACAAAATAGAGAAGACGAAAAACGAAGCCGCACGCGTAGATAGATAGGCAACACGACATGAAAAGAACAAGAGAAAAGCGAAAGTTCTGGGTCAACCGTTTTCAGTGAACACGACCAATGAACAGGCGTGCGTTTTCAGCGTTTTCTTGCCTCCTCTCAGACACCAAAAGGATGTCCGGGACATGCCTAAGCGGAGGCACCATTACATCGCCTGACATAGGGCGTCCGAGGGAGGACCGGGGCTTGAGGCCATTTCAAGGGTGAACAAAGGGAACGACACGATGAGGGGGGCAGTGTAGCTCACCGCTACTCCGGTCAACCCTAACGACCGCAAAAAAACAACATTCAAGGCTACAGCCGTGCCCTCGAAGAACGCCAGAACTTGCTTCAGAGACGCAATCATGTACCACAACAGCATAAACGAAGCATTTAAGAAAAAAAAAAAGACCAGCAAGGCTACCATAACGCAAAGGGGCTCCGGCAGAACTCGTGGGTCTATTCACCACTCACCCGACACCCATCCCTGCCAGGAACCTTCCGACGAACAGTTCCGAAGACCCCACAGCCACGGCGCACAACAAGCCGCCCGCGATGAACAGGGCGTTGTTGTACAGCAGCGTCGCCCTGTTCTCCGGAGATCATCAGAGACATCGGAGGGGTGAAGAACGCCGAAGATGCACCGCGACCGAAAATGAGGCGGTAGTTTAGCTTGTGACAGATAGCTTCGAGCGAAAATATACACACAGCCGGGGTGCGGAAAACAGAACGGCCCCAGGGATAATTCCTGCACTGGCCGACAGGGCACCAGGTAGTTGTATGCGGGGCGATCCTCACTATCATTCATGCCGCGGTCTCTCGAACACTGATCTTGAGCGTCACGTCTACAGGAAGCATGCTCTGGGGTAGGCATGGAGCTGTATCATGCCAGAAGTCGGCGGTAGTACGAACTCCCCATCCAGGGCTCAAAAAGACGGCCTGTTCAAGAGACCTGTCTCCAATTCGAAACCCAGAGAAAAGAGACACCTTCATAAAGTACGGGCACCGAGTTCTAAGCTGGCCCTCTTCATAAAGGGGAACATGCTACTGTGCGAGAAGATCGGCCACCAACTATTTACATACTTCAAGTATATAGCTACGAATAGTAGCATTTTGAAGAGCACTCGTGGCCGATGAACGATAGCGCTCCTTACCCCACGTGGAAATTAATCTCAGGCTCGGCTTTTTCCGTGCACCAGACATTGACATTTCTTTGTGAGAGGGTCGCCGCTTTGCTGTCCACGGCGACCAACGGCTCCCTCCATACAGCATTACCCCGCCGACACCTACCGGCGGCCGAGCGCATCCGACGGCCTGCTCGCCATCATGGACCCCAGCCAGGCCCCCGCGACCAGGAGGGAGGTGGCCACCTCCTGCTGGACGGTGGGCAGGTCCAGGTCTCTGAGCGTCGAGCCCGTGGGGCAGGTGGCGTCCTCCCCGGAGAGGCAGGCCTCCGGGCTGGCGGCGTCTCCCGTGACGAGCACGGTGTTGAGCGCTGAGAGGCAGTACCTGCTTTCGTGTGTGTTTTTATTATTAGCATCGACCGCGCTTACCGGCTGACCAATGAAAAGACTTTCGTGTGTGTGTGTGTGTGTGTGTGTTGTTGTTGTTGTTGTTGTTGTTGTTATTACGGTCGTATTTGGGGCTATTCCAGAGGGAATTTGCTTGACTGAACATATTTGAAGGGTATTGTGTCTACACAGGATTTAGTTTAAAACCTAAACCCCCATCTATCCCTCCCCCCCCAAAATAAGCTGTGCACAGATCTACGAAGAATTTTCCTGCGGGCCGATACGTCCGTATCGTTCCAGGAGTAGGTTCCACAGCAGTATTGATGTTGGTCGGCCGGGGTTAAACTACCGCTGTAAACACGTTGCCTGACCACATCTGGAGCAGAAAGCGCGAACGTCGAAGTATCCATGGCCGTTGTGCGTGTGGGACGCACGATGCATGTTGTGGTTGCTTGGAACCTCGTGTCAAATAATCGTTCAGTGCGTTAGACCGTCGGGTTGCATCCTGTGTATCGGAGACCAAGGTTTGAGCGGTGTCTCCACCGTGCCCGTCAACTTTTGTGTGCATCCACCAGCAGAGAAATGAAGGTGTAGAGAGTTGTCGCAATTAAGATGCATGGCGGATGCATGGTTACTCCAAATGGCTGTACATGTAGTCTAGAGGTGCACGTTTCGATGCCTCTAAGAAAGCCAGGGCACTTTCAAATCCAAAATCAGGGGGTTGATCAACGAATCCATGCGCAGTAAAATATGCAAGTGTGTGTGCGCTACGTGGGCAATGGGGAGACCTTGTACTGAAATTGGTCCTCAATCTTGTACAGCAGGATATCAAGCACTAAACATATGTGCACGTGCTAATAGTGAATAGCGCAAAGAGAGCAGGCACCGCTTGCGACGTGCGGTCGAATAACCCGCAGTGGGCACTGGAGGTGTGCTTTGCTACTGCCAGGTCTTCGAGGACATCACGCCGTTCTGTCACCTGCATCTGTGTCCGATCCTGATACGAACCACATCTGCAGCTCTGTATCACACTGCTCACCCGAATAAGAAGCTGGGTAGGGCGCTGATGAGGCTCGAGGCCCACATCCTGCGTGACACTGCGGAGGGCCGATGGTGCTGCTGCATTCTTCTGCCGTAGTACAAATATATGCGGCGAAACGAGCCAGTTCCGTGTTCGGAGTGCAGGGGTGCAGGAGTGCAGGGCCGGGCCAGTGTCGTTCGTCGTGCGGTGTCTCCCTCCTTCTGGGCAAGCGCTACCCCAGCGATCTAGGATATTGAACTTGCTCCCACGACTTGTGCTAGAACACGAGTACTCACGTTGCCACATGAAGACGACGGTCATTTGATGAACCCAAAGAAAGGTACCACAGCAGTGTAGTGTTTGCGGACAAATAGGGGTACAATAAAGAGTAGACTCAGCTCTCTCGGCGACGCTGATTGGTCCGCTCAGCCCCCTGGAAGGCAGGCAGAGTTCAGAGTCGCAGGAAGCGCCAGAAGAGGCGGTGCTGGGTGGCCACAGCTGGATACGGGATGTTGACAGTCAAACCTAGATGAGGAGAATCAAGCCTTCATCTAGCTCACCACGGCATGTGCGCACGCTAGCATGCGGCTTCGGCGACACTAAACTTGCTTGCGACGTGAAATTGAGGGGGAAATTTTCGCGAGGTGTGAAGTGAGGAGGAAAGGACCGCTGCTGCGTTCGGAGTCGTGCTCAGCCATTTGTTTGACGTACATAATCTGGAGCTAAATTGGATTGTATCTCGTGGAGTTATTTACCGAACCGCATCTCCTCGTGTCTTCTCTGGGCTTGTACATTTGTTCGCGGTGGTCCGGGTATACATCTACAAAATAGTACATGTAACATGCTGTCGGCTCCTCCAAAAGCACAGCAAAATAAGCAAAGTGGTCGACACTCAGCTCACCCACATCCATTCAAGAGAAAAACAGTATTTTGCAGCCAGCAGAAAGAACATGCATTTAACTATCTCCTGTGATTCTTCGTATCGCACGCATTTATGAATGCGTCTCTTAATCGGAAAACAACAGTCCAGACTCTACACCATTTTGTCGAGGACAACATTTACAGACTAAAAGTGAGCAGTCTCTCCATCGAAGAACACTATTCTCCGCCTGCAGTCTGGGGAGCATGCTACGTGGTACATCCGTGCGTCCCTTATCTCCATCACGACGCCCCCCCTTCGAGCTTCTCCAAGTTTCGGATGGCCTCGTCCAGCACACTGCGGAGACGCGGTGACGGGGGGAGGGGGGGGGCGTTGCATTACCATCCATATGGTCCTGAGAGCAAAACGTACGGTAACTTTTGCATAAAAACATGGGGCAAGTACACGTGGCGTCGCCGTCGACGTCATCGCCAATGCACAATGCACGAACTAAGCGCCATGAGGTTTGTGTTCGGCGAGCTACATGCACGGTGCTGGTAGCACACCTCCACAACTAAGCGCACCGCAATGAAGCTACCATGTACTTCTATGAAATAAGTTGATGAGACAGTTGTGAATAAATTCTTGGCGCTCAGGACGAAGATGGCATTGAGAGGCCGGGCTGGGATTGTGTACCGGCTTGTCTGTGTGACACGTCATTGTAAGTGACTATCTCATCTGTGTATCCCACCAATGGGTGCAGGGGTCTGCCTCCCTCACTACTCAGGAACGTTTGGAGCTTGCCATAAACCGTTTCGGCTACTTGCGGATGGCCACGTCTCTCTCTCTCTCTCTCTCTCTCTCTCTCTCTCTCTCTCTCTCTC